TGTCTCTGGTGAAGCCTCTCACCCTCCGCATCTCTGGCCTGTACCCCAGTTATATATGAATAAATAAATCTTTAAAAAAAAAAAGACTTAAAAATCTCTCTTCTCTGGGACGACACAGTCACAGTGACGCTGCTGTCACTGAAGGGGGCTGTGTGGTGGGTCCAACAGGGGGCGCCACTTAGCCTGGGGTGTGGCCGGCTTGTCCTCGGTTCACGTCATTGCACTGACAGTCTCCATAGTTACCGGGTATTGATCAGCGACCTGCTCACAAGGATGAAAACACCAAACTACGCATTTCTCAGAACATGGCTGGTCATGAAGAACACGATAGCAACAGCGACTTTCTGGTCTGCAAAGCCTAGAATATCTGCCAACCTCTGCTCTCCGGTCTCAAGTGATGGGAGTTACTTTGTTTAATCAAACAGTTTAAGGAAATGCTTCTCCTTTCCACTGATAAACTTATTATTCGAGACAAGCAAAAATGATATCATGGGCTCCCGCTACGAGGAATCCAACAGGCCCAGCCAGCCTTACTTGTGTACTTTGAGCCCAGGGGGAGCGATTTCCCAGAATGTGTCCATACCTGAGTCTTTCTAAGCATGGTGTAGCGTGGCTCTCCGGTCTTCGATCTACTTGGAGTTAATTTTCAAGTATTGTGCGAGGCAGGGCCCAGCTTTGCATGCCTCTAGCCAGAGGTCCCAGCTGCTGAAGAGACTGTTGCCTGGGCACCCCTGTCCAGAGTCCACGGGGCCCCGGCATGCAGCTTTATTTCTGGAATTTCAATTTGATTCTATCGGTCTCTGTCTTTACTTAGGCCGGCATCACAGTGTTTTATTTTCTGTAACTTTGAATTAAGTTTTGTAGTGTTTTCTCGTCCTTCTTCAAAATTGTTTTGACTTCTTAAGTTCCCTAAAATCCCATATGAATTGTAGGACTGAATTTGTCACTTCCAAAACTAGGTTGCTGGGAATTTGATAGGAATTGCATTAAATCTAGATAGTTTTGGGTAATATTGCCATACAGATGCATTGAGATATAATTGCTGCTTAGGTATTCACCTCTAACTGATACGTATTTACTCTGTTTTAAAAAATCCATAATGGAACGGCACCATTTTCTTGCAGGGGCTGCTTTGAGATCTACTTGGCTGTATTTGAGATTTATTCATAGGGCGGTACATAGTTTCACTTGCTTCGTAATAGCTGCTGTGTTGTGCTGTTGCATGATGACGTCACAATTCTTTCTACATTGTCTTGCTGGTGAATACCTAAGTTGGTTCTAATTAAGTGAATTATATCAAATTAAAAACTTGGCCCCAATTAAAAGTCTTGTATATAGTATCACTGTACATAATGTTTTTGTTTTCACAAATAATCCAGGATAGATGCTCCCGTGCCTATCTTCCAGAGTTCCTGGAGGTGGATCTAGGACTGGAATTCTTGAGTCCAGTGGCTGCGCACATCTTCAGCTTCCAGGGTCACCTTGCTCTCCAGGGTTCCAATGCGTTTTCTCTGCTGTCCGGTGAACCAACCTCACATGCTGTAACATTTGCCCTAGAATCAGAGTGCGCTGTTTCTTTAGTGAGATGCTACGTTTTCATGGTGCTTCTTGCGTCTAGGCACATGGGATGCAGCTTCTCTTTTTCTCTTTGAAAGTATTAGCTCCTCCTCCTCTATGTTGATGGTTTATAAAAATCCTCTTGAGGAACTATCAGAGAAGGCATCTTGCATGAGAACTAGGTCTTTGACCACCATTTCAACAAGACTGTTCACTCTTAAGTGAGCTGGCTTGATTTTGAAATTTATTCTTATATATATTTTCTACTTTGTCATTTTGGAATCTTTTTGTATAGTTATATTGCATAGTAAAGTGTATTACATAGTATATGCTCATCCATTAAAATAGTTCCTCTATAAGAGCCACTGGTTCCTGTCATACTAATGCAATATTTAGTCTTTGTCTTCTTAGCATAAGTTGGCTTCTTTATCTTGTTTTTTATTACTTATAGTTTCCTATTGCATTACTTTCTGATTTTCCTAATAATGTTTTCTGTTGGTTCATTTGTATTTTGTTGTTGTTGATGCTTAAAAGCTTAGCTACTTTACTTCCAGTTTATTAATAAATTCATGTAAGGGCTCTCCTCGGTGCTACAAGGGGTTAAAGTGCAGCACTCAGAGGCTGCCTGCAGTTGCTGCATGAGCTCAATCCCACCCAGGGAGGGACCCACGGGGCACAGCAGACCTCTCATCTTGCCCGCTGCTCCCCTCCGCAGTTTCAGATATCTGCCTGTTCTGCTCCCCACCCTCTCTGCTGACTCCTCTCACACCCACCGTCCTGTGTCTCTGGCCTATACCACAGTTCTTGTGTGCATAAATAAACTTTTAAAAATCTCCTATCAGTCTACATATCTTTTAATTACTTCTTTGGCTGCTTACTTTCAGCAAGCTCCTTACCCTCATAGATACGCAAGACATTCATATGACTCCTGCATGTTTTTTGGCCGTAATGCACGGCTTTTCATTCGTGGAGGTCTCATCATTCAATTCTAAACGTATCTGTAGCTCATGCTTTAGCATTCATTTCCAGCTGAATGGATTTCAACGATGTCACCGATTTCAAGTTTCTCTGTGGCTAGTGAGAGAAGTCAGACTGTTTTCTGTTGTGATTTACCACATGGCCCATTTTTGTAACGGCTGCGAGTGACGGGCCCGGGATGCACATGTGCTGTGGTTACTTAGTCACACTGGGATCGCACCAGTCACCTCAAGATCGCCACCGCTTTGATGGTTTGGCCTTTCTGTCCTTGTTCCGTGTCTCTCTACCTTGTGGAGAGACATTTCTCCTCACTGGTGATTTTTTGTTTGAAACACTTTTAAGCTGTGTTTCAAGGGACAAAGTGACATCTAGGATATTTGCAATGTCCAGAACATTTAGCTGCTTGGGCCCTGGACAGTGGTGGATGATGGGGGTGGGGCTCTACTTTAGGCTGACCCTGGCCTATGGCTGCTGTGTGACTGACTCTGACCTGCAGTATGGCTGACAGGTCCTTGAACTTCCTCACTCTGGCCTGGGGCCATGGCCAATTCTACCACTTACCTCTTGTGACCTTGAATAAACCACGTTGACTCTATGGACCTGTTTTCCCACCTACCTATGTGTTGTCAAAAGGACTAAATGAGTGTGAGCCGAGCACACAGTCCATGCCCAGTTGATGGGGATGGACAGATGGTATCCAGGGGACGTGTCTGGTCAGCTGAGGGAATTCCTTGGGGTCTCCTCTTCTAGGAAGTCTTCATGTAAACCCCAACCTGCCACTGATGAGTCTGGCCACCTCACTCACTCACTATTCCTCAGGGTTTTTGTATAGTTTGCAGCAAGGAGGGAAAAGTAGACCTGATTCAGAAATTTCGGCCTCAACAGAGTTGGGTGGCCAGAGGAGGTAAGGAGCAAACACCTTCACACAGAGGCTTTCTACTGGGTTGGAGCGTTGAGTAAGAGTTCTCAGGCACAGCAGCCTTGATGAACAGGCCGGTTAGAGACCGACTTTTCTGTCCACTCTGCCCCATAATCTGCCACTAAGAGGGCTCCCCTCACCCCAACCCTGCAGTCAGCACTGGCACTGTAATCCTCCACACTTCATCTCTCCTCAGGGTCTGCGCCCCCCACCCCCACAGGGGAGAGTGAATGCGCCAAGCCAGTTCCACCATCACTCCCCATACCCCCCCCAGTCTCCCCAACACTCACCCTACATGTCCCCCATTTCCTGGTGCTGTCCTTTCTCTTCAACTGACTGTGCCTATCTACTTTCGGTCTTTTCCAAGTTTGTGATTTTGTTAGGGCCAGAGAACCTTAAATGCTCAATATAAATTCCCACTTTTATCTTTAGTCGCATTTGTTCGATTTCTAGCTATTTGGATGAACACTTGATTCACCTCCAAAGTTCTCTTACTTCCAGAATGTATTTTCTTAACCAGCACGCTCAAGGCTCTCCATGTGCTCCTGGGTGCGCCTTTGGCTACACCCCTGGGCTTCACGAGGTAAAAACTACAATTCCTACAATGCGTCCACCGTTCGTCTGTGCCTTACTGAGAGGCATTTTACAATCTCGCACTGAAGGCCTTTTCAAGGACGTTAATTTTATTGTAGAATCTCCCTCTTGGGGGGGAAGATCAGATTATCTCATCTCATATTTGCTTCTTGGCATCTGTGAAGCGCCTCGCTGCTGAGTCTCATGTGGATCTTCATGGACTTTCAGAGGTGTCTGAGAATTTGGAGGTGTCTAGGGGGCAGCGGGTTTGATGCATCTGACTAGGTTTATTAACGGCACACGTCATTCATGGCCAATACCCATCTATATGATCGCACATGACCTGTGACTCCCGGATCCGATCGCCTGTAAAAGGGGTGAGCCCACTCTTTCCTCCGTGGGACCCCTTACTTTCCCAGAACACCTCTGACCACGGGGGTCCTTTCGCACCATCTCTGGCACCTATGGCGGAGCGGGAGGGACTCAGGTGAGGTGAGCCAGAACGCCGCGCCCTCCGCCCCCTGGGGGTCTGCCGGAGCTCAGAAGCCAGCTCAGGGTGGCCTTGGACTTGGGGAACAGTGCCCCGACACTGGTTTCCCTGTTCGGAGGCTCCTCCGTGGGCCGAGGGGAGCACCGCTCACTGCGCTGTCCGGGGGCTGCGGCCAGCCCAAGCCCCAGTGCCGCTCCAGCGCTTCCTGTGACGCCGGGTCGGTGGCTGCCGCTCTGAGCCGTTTCCTCACCTGCAAACTGGGCCGACGCGGCCTCTCGGACGCTGGCCCAGGGCGACGCGCAGGGGCAGGCGCGGCGGCCAGAACACGCGCAGCTCTCGCGGGACCAGCTGTGGGCCCGAGACGCCAGGCGCCCGTGGACAGACACCGCCACCTCTGTGGGCGGCGAACGGGACAGTGAGTGTTCGGGCCCTGCCTGCCCCGGGGCGGGGCGGGGCGGGCTGGGCACAGCAAAGACTCCACCACTGGCCGGTCGGACGATCTCCTTTAATACAAAGTCGATATATCTACATACACAGAGGTGGGGACCACCCGCTGCTTCTACTGGCCGATGGCGCTGAAAGCAGCGGCCGATCCCCTCTCGTACAAAGAGAAAAACTCACTTGCTCGGGGCTGGGGGGTCCCGTCCTCCCGCTTTTGTCCCAGAACTGCCCCGGAGTCCCAGGGGGGCGGGGTCCCTGATCCAGGGCAGCACGGGGCTTCTCTCCCCCCGGGGAGAAGGGGGGACCCCCCGTCTTGTTCGGTCCTCCCTGGGGCGGGGGGCGGGGGGCTCGGGCAGTGAGGGGGTCGCTGCCGTCGTGTCTGAGGCAGGGCCCACCTCGGAGGGGCCAGGCCCCGGCTGGTGGCCTGAGCTGCCGGCCGCCCTGTCCTCGGAGCTGGCCGTGATATGTCTGAGGAGTCGATCAAAAACAAAAGCAAAAAAGGGAAGAGAAGAAACCAGGCGCAAGGGGACGGCCCACTCGGGAGCAAGGCACACGTCCGGCGGGGGCCCGCCGCGCGAGACGCCTGCTGCGGTGGAAAAAAGAGTCTGTGAACAGAATAGGAACAATAAGCAAAGTTTTAAAATTCATTGACTGGCGCGTCTTTTTTTCTGTTTTGTTTCTTCTTTAAAAAAAAAAAAAGAAAAAAGAAAAAAAATACACTATTTAAAAAAAGGAAATGTCACTGGTTACAGTTACACCGAGTTCCCAAGAAAGCTGAATTCTGCCCCCAGCCCGGCGCCCCCAGGCGTGGGCAGGACGGCGCGGGGGGAGGACGAGGGGTCAATCCAAGGCCCGCACCCCTGTCCTCTGGTTCTGGGGAGAACCCCTGTTTGTTCACCACCCCCCACCCCCACCCCGGAATCTCCTGTTTTGGAATCGGAAGGAAATGAGGAATGTGCCGAGTATCTGAGGGCGGCAGCTGGTGCCGGGGGGCTGCCGGGGCCGTGGGGGGCTGCAGGGCCGCCTCATTCCCCGAGACGTGCAGAACCGCCGCGCCGCCGGCCGAGTCCAGCCTCTCGGGCTCACCGCGGGCGGAGGCCGCAGGCCGGCCATGGCTTTAGGTTGCATAGTGGTCGAAGCTCCCGAGGTACTCCAGCGCCGCCTGGTAACAGAACTGGTACTCGTCCTGGGGGGAGGGGCGCGTCAGTGCTGGGGCTGCGGGGGTCTCCGTGGCACCCCCCAGCTGGGCGTGCCACCTGCCCGCGCCCCACCCACTGCTAGACCCCCCTCAGTCACCCAGCTGAAATCCTGCCCGAGGCGGAGTCCTGCCGGTGGCCGGCCCTCGGGGGCCCGTGAGCGTGAGCCCTCCCGGCTCGGCCTCGCTCTCCCCACCTGGGGGGCAGCAGGACCCCCCGGCCTGTGGCTCGGCCGTGTCCTGGCCGAGCTGCAAACCTGCTGGGGCTCTGGGACCGGAGGGCCCCACCCTGCGCGCGCAGAGGGCCGCGCCCTGGGTCTGACTTCAGTTTGTCCTTGCGGCCTAGGGGTTGACCCGTCCCCTTCTGCTGCCATCCCCCAGGGAGAGCAGAGGCCGCGGCAGCCCTCCGCCCCCCGCCCGCCGCCCTCACCTCCGTCTGCACCATGGCTGGCCTCTGGGTCCGCAGCATCTTCACCGTCTGGAAGATGTCCACCACGCCTTCGTACCGCATCCGCTCCAGCACAATGCTGAGCGTGATGAAGACGCCCGTCCTGCCCACGCCAGCGCTGTGGGGGGAGCACGGCCACTCAGGGGGGCCTCAGGGCCTCGGATCAACCACCCGGCTCCTCAGGGCAAAAACCGCCCAACTGGGCTGCCCAAAGCTTGCAGCTGCCCCATGAGGCTTCCTCGGTCGCCCCAGCCAGGCACTGAGCGGAGGCTTGGGGGTGGGGGTGGGGCCGCTCACCTGCAGTGGACAGAGATGGGGCCATCCTGGCCGAACTGCTCCTTGGTCTTGTGGACTTGGCCAATGAAGTCAATGAAGCCCTCCCCTGACTTTGGCACACCCTGTTCTGGCCAGTCCGTGAACTGGAACTGCCGGACAGTCCGAGACTGACCATCCTAAACACAGGGGGAGAACAGGTCTCCAGTGACGGCAGCAGCGGTCACGACTGCCCCCACACGCCCCCTGCCCTCAGCCCCACTGTCCACCACCCGTCCCGGGCCTCCATCCCCTACCCCACCTAACGGCATCGCCGCTCGCCGCGCGTCTGACCTCGCTACCAGCCTCGACCCCGGCCTCCCACACCACCGTCGTGGCCAGTGTCCATCCCTGAATGGGCCACTGCTCTGTGCGCCGCCATCACCAACCCTGCCGACCACACGCTCACCCCGACATGCACTACCACCCTCTGCTCCCACCCTCTGCACTACACACATCCACCCCCTGGCCCAGCTTCTGTCCCCTCCATGGCCACTGGTCACTGGCCGCCTCCCCCAACTCCTCCACCACCCAACGGCGCCACCTTCCACCAGTCCCGCCCGCAGGCCACCAGCGCCACCGTATCCACCCTCCCCCGGCCTCGCCAGCCGCCACTGGCTAGGTCCACTTTCACCCGGGCCACGCGACCCCCTCGTGCTCTGCGCCTGGCCATTCACCGCGCCATCTTGACTGTCCACCGCTGGCCACTCATGACCTTCCACCAACCGAGGGTTGCGTTTCACAGCCTTTCCCTCTCGGAAGAGCCCGCCGCCCGCGCTCCCCCTCCCCCCGCCGTCCACACCAGCCGCCGCAGGCTACTCGTCGTCCTCCTCCACTCAAAGGCCCCAGAGTCGCTGCCGGGCCCTTCCCCACCTCGCTCACAACCCCCAGTCCTCGGCCAGAGGGGCCACCTTCCTCAGACGCTCTCCGCCCCCGCGTCCACCACCTGCCGCCGGCCCTCCCGCCCACTCCCTGCAGCGCCAGCCGACGTCGCCGTGCCCACCGCCCACCCCGGCAGCGCATCTCTGCCACCCAAGGGCACCGGCCCGCCGGGACCCTCCGTCCTCTCCCAGGCCCATTCGCTGCACCAAAGTGCCGCGGCGAACCCTGCCGGTCACCTAAACTTTCTCCGGTCCCAGCGCCTGACTCGGGTACCACTGGCAGCACTCCGGCCGCTGACCGCTGACCGGCCATCGCTCCTCCTGTTTGGTCACTGCCACTGAGCTTCAAGCAGAAGCACGCCACCCCCTACTGACCCGTGGGACCGAGTCGCCCAGCCCCGCCCCGTGATGGCCTTCTTTCCATTCTCCAGCTCCAGCTTCTGCCACCCAGTACCGCCCAGCGGCACCACCTTCCGCTAATTGTCCAGCCCCACCCCACCCCCAAAGCCAGTGGTGCCATCTCGCACTGCTTAGGCACTGCGACTAGAGATGTCCCCTCAGCAGACTTCACTAACCGCTGGCGACACCTTGGCCCACATTCCCTTTGGTAAACGAGATTCGTTAGTTGATGCATATGAGAAGTGGGTACAGGCCGGAGGTGCAGGGGATGAGAGGATTCACCAGAGACAGAGCGGGGAGCAGAACTGCTGAGGGGAGTAGCGGGGAGACGGGAGAGGTCTGCTGCGCCCTGGGGGTCACCCCTGGTTGGGGATCGAGCCTGTGCCGCGGTGGCGCCGGTTGCTCGACAGCCCTGCTTCTGCCCTGCGCTCTGCAAACACCCTTCCCGCGTGCGGCACTCAGGTCCGGCCGCTCCGCCGTCACCGCCCGAAACCGCTGCCCCTGGGTCTTCACCGCCGGTCCCCATCTTCCTCCCCCGCATCTCTCTCCTTCCAGGCACCCGGCCCTCGGTCTGGCGCGCTCCGGCAGCGGGGCCCACAGGCCGCCGCGAGACACTCGCTCCCTCCCAGCGTCCCCGGGCCACAACCCGGGAGCTGTCATTCAGGTGACGGGGACCCCGGAGTGGCACACGCCGGGCCTGCCCTTCCGCTCGCTGGAGGTGGGGACAGACGGGCCGACGCAGCTTCCTTGCCGGCCCCAGAGCCCTTCCGCCAGGACCCTGGGCTCACCGCCAGTGTCCGCACTCACCCGGGCATCTGTGACCTTGAACTCCCGCAGGATGTACTGCGGCATGTTGTACTCGGCCATCGGATCCACCACGAAGTACTGATAGCGGGCGGAGCGCTCGGCTGGCCAGTACTGGTGACATTTTTCCTGTTGAGGGGGGCAGCGGCGGTCAGC